TTAATTAAAAACCGATTTGTTATTCTCTCTAATAAATTTTTATTTATTGCTTTATACGATGTAAGCCCAACTTCAACTGAGCTAGGTTCCAGCCCAATAATTAATACATTTACACTTTTGTACTAAAATTTCATGAAAGCTACAAGTTGTATTCTTAATTTATTGTTAATTATATTTCTTGAATGGTATTTATATAAATTATTTAATGTTTTAGGACATTAATAATAAGAAACTATGAAACAATACAGAAAACTATATTTCTGGATTTGAATTTTTTAGTTGCGAACAAATTTATTAGGGAATAGAATATTTAGATATTCCATAGCACTAGTTGCCTTCGGGGTGTGATCTCGGAAGCATATTAGTCACTGCAATGAACTATTCTATATCAATATACTAAAGAAAACTTGGGTAATCAATAAATAAAATGTTTAGTAAAAATAAAAGTTACGGGATGAGTGAAAAAGTTTTTGATTGTAAAGAACTGTATTAAATTGTGAATATGTTTAGGAATATAGGAGACAAAGGTATCTAGTTTTATGCTAATTGAAATTTTTATAAAAATACATATTCCAATTAAATATGGTATTTCATTTGCATCAGTGAGACTGGAAATTGAATATATATTGTCAACATTATTTCCATTCTAATTGTATACTAAATTTTATATTGATCTTATGTTATATTTTTTATATTAATTTTACTTCAGGTACGGAAAGAAACATTTCAAAATTAAAAATATTGAGTATATCTCTAGAGCAGAGATAACGTATCCCAGAAATATATCCAAATGATCTTATAAATTAATCTGTATGTTATTGTTAGTAATAAACTTGAATAATTTCATTGTCATACCATTGCTATCAACTGCACTAATGGAATTTATTGCAAAAGCAGTTGCCAACAAGATGTTTATATTCGATCAATCCGTAGACGCAGCTCGATTCAAATGCGCAAGTAATATTATATAGAAACCAGGGAAGAATTCCCAGAACTCGGGAAGACATTCGAGAGTGTCCAAATGGCCTAAATCACAGCAGTTCAGCTTCAAGAAAAATCGTGCGATACTTGAAGCAATCGAGAGGGTTGTCAAGATAGCAAGGGAGGCTACTTCAGGTATCAAATGGAGAAGTGGTTTGAAAGAATGCTGTGCAGTGGTCACACTTTGCGTGAAGAGCACATTCAACTCGACAAAGTGGTCACATATTGTATGTACCCTCACGGTTTTTGGGATTCCAAAGTACCTCATCGGGGTTGCGTGTAGCTACATTAAGGACCAAAATCTGGAATACATGACTGACCACGGAGTACATAAGTAAGGGCTCGGTATTGAGACCCACACTCTGGAACGTCATGTACAATAGTGTGTTGGTCAGTGTTGCCCGCATCACCAATTGCATTACCTTTAGTTTACCATAACTTTATATTACAAGCCTCCATTATATGCTCATAGGGAGTTTATGTTATCTGACCGTTTTCTATGTTTCTATGTTGCGTTCTTTAAATTTTGGCAGAAGTTTTTTATTTGTTCCTATTAATGTATCTATGTTTTTTAGTACTACAAAATCACCTTTTTTAAATTCAATAGCACTTTTTTGTGTTTGCTTACTTGGACTTCAGTTATATTCCTGCACTCTAGATGTACACTTTTTTGCAGATTTGCGAATAAGTTCCAAATTCCTTTTCTCCAAACCAGAAATGCACTCGTCTAGATATTCCGTCAGCTTATCGACAGTTTCACCTCTTTGGTTTACGCCAAAACCAAGCCAAGGCTTGGTTTGGAGTTATTCCTGTTGATCTGTTAATTGAATTATCTATCTATGCTTCTATGTGGTCTACTACAGTATTCAGAATATTTATTTAATGCAACTGTGACCTGTTTTGTACCAGTTGTTAGTGCTGGATAAAATTTGACATATTTTGTAAAGGCATCTAAAATTACCAGAATATACTTGCGTTTTGACTGAAGTGATGTTAGTGGACCTAAATGATCTAGATGTATGGTATGAAATAGTTTAGGGTGTTTGGGTGTGTTATGTAAGTTTCATTAAGTTTTTTCTGGGGCAGAATACATGATATATTTTATACAATTTTTCTTAACGTTGTCAATTTTTCTTTTCATGAGTGGAAACCAATAATTTCTTCTTATTTTATAATAGTATTTTTTCACGCCTTGATGCTCTAATTGTTCACTTACAGATCCAATTATTTCTTTTTCCAATCTTTAGGTGGATATAAAAATCCTATTTTTTTTTCTTTCCTGAAAACCACACCATTCTCCATTACAAACTTCTAGCTCTTCGTTTTCTAATCGGTTCCTTAAACCCATTATATCTTCATCTCTGGTCTGCATTACTTGCAACTGACAGTCTAAGTCTTCACTGGCAATAAATGCCACTAAGTTTTCATTTACTATTTCGCATCTGCTGAGAGCATCTATATGCGGCATTTTCTTGGCAGCACGGTGAAATATTGAATAATTAAGGTTTTCTAACTCTAAGGCCCATCTAGCAATTCTATTATTCATTAATTTCTTATTTAATTTTAATCTTAATGAATTGCAGTCGGTTATAATCTTGAATTCTATAACGTCTAGATATACACGGAACCTACGGAGTGTGTAAATTAGTGCTAAAGTTTCTTATTCAAAGATATAATAATTGCTATCTTCGTCGGAAGTTCTTTTTCAGAAATATGCAACTATGAAACTTTTTCTCATCTTGTTTTTGGAATTTAATGGTTGAAAAGCAATGAGAGCTGGCATCGCAATGTAACTGTGTTTCTCTATTGCCGTTGTAAATTGATAGTACCGAACATTTCACATTAAAATCAAATTTGGAATTTTTCTTAAGCAGGTCATGTAGTGGGCGAGCTACTATTAAAAATGATTGCATAAATTTTTTGAAATATGAACATAAACCGATAAATGACTGAAGTTGTCGCTGATTTTTGGGCCAAAAAAATTTTTTATAGATTCGACGTGGTTTTTTGAGGCTTTAATTTCTTTGCTGAAGCGATATATCCAAGGTATTCAATTTCCTTGTACGCAAACTTACATTTACTTAGTCTTATCTGAAATCCGAGTCGCTATGTCTAATGATTTTCTTATCGAGCCAGTCTTTAATTATATTATTTGCTTCTTTATTTTCGCCTAAAGACAACCGTCGTGGTGAACAGATTATTATTATCACAAATCCTAGAATATTTAGGTGATATGATAGCAGTTTTATGTTTTAATAAATTTATAGATTTTCTTAGATACAGTTTTTTTGGATACCTTCATTCGGACGGTATCTTTAACTGAGAGCTCGTTTTGCCATCAGCCGATACTCTTACTCTTATTTTTTTATTATGCAAACATGAAGGCCTAAATAAATTGAGGTTAATATATTTAATCCTTCGCAAAGCTGTTTAAATATAAAATATTTGAGTTCGAATATTTCCAATCAAGTTTTCATTGATAACTGAAATTTATTTAAATAAAAAATTGCTTTTCAAAAGAATTAAAATATCTTATTTATGAATATGTAATTTGTATCACTTAAAAGAGTGTTAACCATTTTAATTAAAAATTTTGGATATTTTTTGGCATTTTGCAAAATTCGAAATTCTAGTTTAATAAAAATATTTATTGATTGTAAATACTATTAACTGTATTGGTAATTGTTGATATAGTTGGACGCTTTGTTTAACATACCAATTTTAATAATTCGGCAAGTATCCTAAAAATTCGTAAAAGATGAGTAGAATGGTGTACAAAGTCATTAGGAATTAGGCAAACTGTTGAACATACCATATATTAAAAAAGCCTTAACCTTTGCAATCTGTTGTTTTGTTATTAAAGCTCGTGTTATATCAATCCAGCAAATAGTAAAACTGCAACGCAGGTGATACTGGTGTTTGCTGAACCCAAGGACTTGATCTGGCTGCTTCTGGAATTTCAGTAAGTAGATGTTGGTATGGATTGAGCACCTTAAAGTAATTAAATAATCAAAAATGTTGATTTGATTTTAAAACTATTCGCTGACCCATGACTGGGATTCCAACCCTCAAGTTGAAGTTTAATTGCCATTGATGCTATGACAATATAATTGATATGTGGTATTATTTGCTGTTGGCTTACAAACAAGTAATAGAAACGCAGGTGAAACAAGATTTTGTAAAGATGACTTTGTAAGTTTGATGCATATGTATCCTATTTGAGTGGTTTTAATTAAGATTGGTGCCTTTTATATGTTATCCCAATAGGATCCAAGCCTTATTTAACATTGGTACACGAGACAGGACTTTAAAGGAACTTCTCTTGAATAAACATATCTCGAACAAATTGTTTCGCTGCTTTATAATAATTTGTCTTTAAAAAGATAAATTGTTCGATCTAATTTATAGCGGATTTCGTGATGTGGATTAACAAATCATAATTTTTATAAATGAATTTTTTTTTGCCAATAAATTTAAAAATAATATAAAAGAGCCATGATTGTTTGTTTTTAAGACATTTTATTTGAAGACATATATTTTTAAGTATGCATTTATGTGGGTATGTATTTATAATGAATAAACATTCAAGAATAGTTTAAGTTCGATTCTAATCTTACAATTAATCTTAAATATTTTTACATATATAATAAAATCTGCTTTTAGAATTACATACACAAACATTCAGTTTTTAATAATTAATTTGAAATTTATGTTTTTGCTTTATATTTTAAAATTAATGCAAGTTTTCCTTAACAAGGATATACTACCTATAAGCTTTATAATCACATTGAAGTTAATTTGAAATTCTGTATATCTAGTAATTTTTACTACATATATATAGTGTAATATTTAAAAATTTATTTAAGACAAAAATACTAATTATTTAATATATACCATATGTAAACTAAATATAACTTAATTTATATATTCATTTTTTATAGATTAATTTCATTTTTGTTTTATATTGTTACTTATATTTATTTTCAATTTTAATTTTATTATATTATTTCTGTTGTCATCTTATAATTTTTTAACACATTTTTGATCAAATCTGAAACTACATTGTTTTACAAGTAAACTTACAAATATAAAAGCATAATCAATTAATAGCCAAACTAAGAAGTATCGGTTGTAAGCCATTCAATTTTCGTCAACATTTGTAATTCTCTAAATTCTCTAGGTGTGATTCTTAACGCTCCGAACGTTTCCCAAAATACTTGCAACACGTATTGAAAAAGGACCATCATAGCTGCTCATTACCGATATGTGTCGTGTCAGTAGGTAGGGAGTGAGTCTGCAAATACAGTAAGCAAAATTGGAAAAATGGAGAAAAAATTATAATATATAATTATATAAAATACTTTATATAATATGTATCTATATGTATATTATATATATATAATATTATAGGGATCTTTAAGAAATTTTCATTACAAATTTCTTTTAAAATATTTCAAAGATATTTGAACTGTTATATATGACTGTACTGTATATATGACTGTTCAACGAAACTATTGCAAGAGTCAGTAATTCTGATGGAATCTCATTTAAAACATGTAATTCGTTATTCATATTTAATATTTATTATTGGATTTGATTGAAGATCAAAATTCATAAGATGAGAGAGAATGTCAATTATACCATTTTACCAGTACAATCATACTAATAGTCCATTGTACTGATAGTGTGTAGTCCAAAGTGCTATGGGACTACAACTCAGTATATAACGATAAGATTTTAGTGAATTTTTGTTGAGTTGAGTGAGTTGGGCAAGCTTCGTAAATAACGTTACGGCTTAGTGAATTTATTACCTTTTTTAGATTGAAATTATTTAATAATATAAGTGTTATGTATATCACACACTGTATATTATGGAATATAATAACGTCGTTGGAAATGATCAAATAAGTGCAATGAATATGTTATCTCAAATAACTATAATGCCTTAGTAAAAGACCATTGAACAAGTATTAAAACACAGTCAACACAGTCAAGGTCATGTTATATATAAAGAGTACAGCGAAAGTAATTGTGATTCTCATTAAGTTTGCTCTAATTTTATTTAATAAGGTAAGTAAAGTGTGTTGAAAGTTGAATTCAATTTTACTTTAATATAAATAATTCACTACATTTCTTAATCCAGGGACCTGTCATAATATTTCGGTATAGAGAAAAATGCCATTATTTAAATTTATTTAAACATGTTTATTTTAAAAGTGATCACTGTAAAGTGATCGTGCCTCTTTTTGTAAGAGAGAAAAAAGTTTTTGTTAATGAAGATTAGAGTATTTATTTTGCATATAGCTTTATTGTTGAAATAACTTCAGTTTCAGTTGTTTTTTTTTTCTAAAATTTACATTTTAATCAAATTAAAATAAACTGATTTTCAAGACGTCAATTATCTTGCATTTCAAATAAATAATTCAGACATAGAATTTTTAAGAACCAGAAATATGGTATGGTTGGGTTTAAAATTGAACGTATATTTTAGACTTAATAGTTGCTTAATAGTTGATTGATTCAATATTAATACAAATTGATACTATATTATAATATTCCTGTCAAAAGAAATTATAGTTGTTAGAATATGACATTTCTCTTATTACAAATTGACAATTGTATTTAGTTTAATCAAAAAATCACAGAAATTGTGTTCTAATAAATAAAATTTAGATCTAAATTTTGGTGAAAATCAACCAAATTTCCTTCCTGAGTGTAGGATTACCATTATTACATGACGCCTTTCCACCAATGGTTTAGTGATTTCTACATAAAGAGACTTTCTGTAATGAGTATGTTATTTATTCAAGATGTGTCTGTCTTCAAAAAATTCATTTTTTTGAATTTTTCATAGTTCTGAATTAACAATTAACCTTCGAGAAGAAGTTAAGTAGTAAGAACTTTTCGACAAAAAGCAAAAAGTAACCACAAGGACGAAAAAAGCGCCTTGCTCCATGATATTACATGATATGGCTCCGTGATATTACATATCTACTGTACTGATTATAAGGCTATGATTTGAAGTTGCTTATACTATAAAATATTTATACTGTAATAAAACACCTATGTATTTAAAAACCAACTGCTGTTGTGAATTTCGAATCATTAATCAAAATTTTAATATTAAATGTACTTAAGTTCATATAATTTTTTAAAAACTTATCAAATAAATTCTAAATAAGTTTAAATTTTGTAAAAATAATAAAAGCAGTCGACTTCCAACAAACAATATTTTGGTGTAGCTTTCCACAAAAGTAATTAAGATCGCATTGGGAGGTGTGGCTAATAAATAGTCATACTACCAAGAAGCGCAATTTAATTAAAATTTTCATTGCATATTTTTGTCGAAAGCGTTGCGGAAGAATTTTATATGCGGCTTTAATAAAATGAATTTGGGTATATTTATAGTGCAATGAAATTACGGACCAACATAATATAAAATTCTACGTATACCCTTAAACCGGGGATCTACTGCATTCCAACTCAACTTAATGCCAAATGATAAATTTTTGGCGTTCTAATGGAAATTCCTGCATGGGTTTTGGATTTATGTCTGTCCGTAGTTTGATATTGCTACTGCATTTGCGTTGATTTATAATTTAACTTTGCAGTATGCAATAATATAAAAATGTTGTTGTTATCATTGACTGTTCTGCCTATTTAACTCACCTGCAAAGCAATGCGCTTGTGATGCATCGATGAATTTGACGAGGACTTGCTTTTGCCTTTTTTCCATGAGCACATGCACAGCTCCTTCATGCCTTTGCGAAAGTTCCGACTCAAAAATGCATACAACAATGGATTCACGCCGGAGTTGAAGTACGTGACGAGAAATGTAAGAGGTGTCAGGAGCGCATTGAAGTTGGAGTCTCCACGATATGAACGTGACCTATTGGTTTGTGCAATCCAATTTCGTGTTTGTTTAGTGGAAGAATCAACAAAAAATTTATTTTGAATTAGTTTAGTGGTAAAGAAAGATGGTTATAAATTAAGAACACTATGATGAAAAGAGAGTTATTTGTTAATTGATGATATTGCTATAATATATGGTATATAAATTATTTTGATATTTTTTATTTCGTTATATTATTTTTCAATTATGTGTTAGGTATTACCAATAGCGCTCTATGCGCCATTATTTTAACAACAGTTTCAAACAATACTGAATAAATCACAAAAGCTTAAATTTTAGGTATTAATAAGCAGGTTTGGCATTTTATTGTTCTTTCACTTAACTTATAATATTATATTCAAATGATAGCATATCACATTTCGAGTCTCATTGAGTGTCAAAAACATGATAAGCCACCTAAATGAGTTTTTCATACAGTATGATATATGGAAAGCCAAGCTTATATTTGAGTAAAAAATAAGTGCAGTTTAAAAAAAACACACAAAAACCATCAATCAATCAATCAACTTTTATTTTGTCACTTTCAAAGAATAACCCCATCGAATACAACGTAACTATACCAGCGCTAGAATAATTGAGGTATGGCCTTTAACTTCTTCAGATAATTTTTTTTCATTACCGCTGTAGACTCGAAGTGTCTTTTTCTTCATGATAATTTTTTCCCAAGGGGCCAAGTCAGATGAGTGAGGTTGATCAGATTTATTGAATTTTTTGCAAATAACTTTTACATATTGCTTATGCTTTATGCTTTATTGTAGCACAAAATCAATGGATGAATATTTTCGTGCAAATTCTCATTATCCCAAAAGAGTGTTTAATGTTGACTATGAAGTTTTGATTTATTATCGTGCATGAATACTTTCTATTATTTATCGTTTGTATTTTCGGATGGAATTTGAGCTGCAAAATAATATAGTAACCGTAAAAAACTGACAACATCATCTTGTTTTTCAAGCATCTTTAACGCGGTTCACTTTTTCGTTTAATATCTAAAATGTCTAATATATCTAGAATATTTGGAAATCATATTTTTAGCAATTTTTTACCGATATTATTTTTGTATTTTTAAAATATCAGTCATAATGTTTCTAAAGAACCTAAATGATATGCCAGCCTGCTGAGATTATGCTCTGAGATCCACGTAACAATTTTCAAGCGACGACTTTCTGATTTTGTTGATGTTTTTATCGTTCTTAATTCTTTAAGGTTTGCAATAATGGAACAAATCAACTACTACAATTTGACCTTCTTTAAATGTTTCCTGCCATTGATACACCTCTGAATGACAGTGCAGAAGATTTTAGTAAATTTTCAATTATTCGACACATGAGTAAATTCTTTGGTCAAATGAAGTTTCCATCGTGAACATTGCAGGGGTCTCAAATGCAAAAACATCTGATGTGAACATATCTGTTAATGGATCGAGTTCAAATTATCATGGTATCACGAAACCTTGTTACTGATTTGTAGAAAAACAGTTGTGGCGGTATTCCTTACCGAATTTCACTGTTCTAAAACTTCCATTTTTTAACTTTTTTTTACTTTATTTTAATACCTGTATTATTTCTATTTAATGTATGGTATTACGAAAAAGTTGAAAGTACTTTAAAAATTCAAAGTTTACATTATTTAAATGCTTTAATCACAATCATTTCTATAGAAAAGCAATGCATTTATATAAGTACTCAAGGAAGTTCCCGCCAATGTAAATATATCCTTCATATCCTTTGTTATCTTTACTTATTTACTACAGTCACTGAAATGTTCAATGCCAAACGCTCCATAAGCTTTCATCTGCTTGCTAAGCAAATTACTTCGCCGTTTCACGCAAATCCATTGGCATCAATTTTTAATATATTGATAATCTCTTCCAGAACAAAGTTCTGTTTAGCGCAAAGTGCATAGTAACAGGCATAGACTTCCATTGGATAATAAATTTATTATTAAATTTTACACAATAAGGAAAAGGATATGCGATAACAACAGCAATAAAAACAAATTTAATACTTTCTACTTATTTTCTCTATGCTTTGAAATGGCTTTCCCTCGTCTCGCAGGAAAATGTTTAATAAATATTCAGAATATAAGCTAGAGTTTCAAGCAGTTTAATCAAATTAACTTGTTTTTCCAGAAAAAATAAGTTTCTATTTTTTCCTTAGTATTTTTTTGAAGTTTTTCTGTGTGAAACAGAATTATTTTTCCACTTTTCCAAATAGAAGAATAATTTCACAACTGTCTGTTTTGCGAAAATATTTTTGCATAAACAAATGAGGCTACAATGTTTAAGTGAAGGAATCGTACGACTTTTTTGTTTCAAATTTTTTAGTCCTTTAGACTTTCTATCTATGTTTTGGTAAATATGTGGAGAACATAAAAACACAACACGTACCCAGGAAATTTTTTGCGAATAAACTTCGAACATGAAATGAAAATTATAAATGCAGAAGATATTTTCCGCAATGCGGTACCGTTGGAACACCGGTGTACTAAGTTCATTAGTGATAATCTAATTTCTTATATAATTTATTAAATTTATATTTATTTATATAGGACACATATATACAGTAAACATATAAGTAAGTTTTTATTAATAGATGCACTGTAAGTTTGCTGAGAAAGAGTTAAAATCATAATTTCTTCTTCAAGATTGCAGTTTACGAAGCGGCGGTATGCTTGGACAACTGATTTTGTTAAGATCGGATTTTCTGAACAACTTATTCCAGTATAGTCTCGTTCTCCAAAGCTAGCTTTGTTAAACTACAAATTTTTAAATTAGTTAAACAAATGTTCGCGCCATCTAGTACATAAAATATTTGGATTCATTGCAAACCCCAAAATTGGTTTCATTACACAAGCTAGACAAATGCTTTTGTGATGTTACTGATTTTTCATTTTAAAATTTACAGCTTAACAGCCCGATATTCAGTCTACTGTGCTATATCGATATATAGTGCCATGGGAAAAACTGTTCCCTTAACAAGTTTTAGATGAAAACATTAATTTTCAAAATTTATTTTGATTTTGTCATAAATGTCTTAAAATCAACGACAATAGACAAATACTTATATGCCAAACTGTTTATCAGAATAGTCTCTACAAAAGATTAGAACTTGTAGATAACAGGATTTTGGGAAACAATAAGAAAATGAATATTTAGAATAGTTCTACATAAATATTAAAGTGTGTCTAGGAAAGGGACTATACATTAATACATGATTATTTTATCATGTATAATTAATTACAGAATATAACGAAAATATTATCTTGCGATTTCTTCCACAAATACTTCTCTTTATGGATTTTATAAATGTTTTTGAAAGATTTCAAGAAACTATATATTTAGGATGAAGATTAGATTAAGCTCAGAAGCAAAAGAAAATGGTGGTGAAAATGCGACTTAAAAAAAAGATTTTGACAAAACTCCACACAAGTCTGTGAAAATCTTTTAAGTTATAAGGATTCTCATAACGTTTACCTCACACACATTATAGAGTGAAAAGGCAGGGAACAAAACTTTCTACTTAATGTCAATGTAACTTATATGGCGTTCACATTGGTTTCAAATGATTGATTTGGGTCAAACATGACAAATGAGAAGCAAATGAGTGATTTCTGCATACAAAATCTGATGCACAAATCAATGATTTTATACAAATGAGATCCACACTCGCGCAATGGAACTCGTTTTATATTTCCAATGAGTTCCAATGAGTTTTGAATGAGTGCCAAATGCAAATAAGTACATTAAACGTATACTTAATAAAAGTTTTTCATGGCATTTTGACAGTTTGAGCTGTTTTTGACATATTCATAAAAAAAGTTAAACAAATATTTGGTGGATGCAATTCTTTTTGGAACGTCTACTTTCCGAAAAGCACGCAATCCAAGCTAAAAAGAAGCTTCCAGTTTATATGAGCTTAGTTTTAGCAAACATGATCCGCTCAATTTTACATGCAAAGCAAAAACAATGGGTTGAACCAGCAATTGATCTGGTTCACATTCTGAATCAATATGGAATGTATGAAAAAAAATAAAAGTGGGACGTATTTTAATGCAAATGTAGTTGGCAACGCCATGCAACGGTGCAGTAAAAATATAAACAAATCTACATTAATGTTTATTTTTTATTGATTTTATTTATATATTATTTATTTTATTTACTTATTCATTTAATATGTCATTGTTATTTATTTCTTTGTTTAAAGTAATGTTTTAATTATTACACTAATTAAATTTATTTCTTAAATTATTCATGTTTTATTATTATTGAAAATTGTTGTTTGATAATTTATTAAAATAAAATAATTTGAAATGAATATATAAAAATTATGTTTCATTCTTCTATTTATTTAAAACAGAACAATACATAATTTACTTGTAGAATATGCTTTATTCTTTGCAATTCTTTATAACTCATTTGTAAAGATTTATTATGTCTTCCTCGTGGGTATACTCATTCTGAATGAATTCATTATGAACTGCATCATTTTGTGTACAACATATATTAAATTTATTTTTTAATGTGTTCTTTATTGTCCCATAAAATATAACAGTCGACGAAACCTTGTTTTCATACGATGACAATTCTTGTCTTCTATGACAATCCTTGCCTACGAATGCATTACATTCAGAACCGCATATATGCAGAATCTCCTAAAGGAAAAGAACAATCGGGGAATTTGTTTAGTGATGCCATAGTAAACAATTGTGATCTACGCAAACTCGGCTGTCGTGTAAGAAACGAGCCTGGTTCCAATATACACGTCTATAAAGAGACTATTGGCATCGTAAACTGTCTGAAAGATTAAGTCCTCTTGCCATGACGTGAAGCAATTATTTTAATATGTGTGCTGTTTTTGCAACCAATTACGACCGAAAATATTTTCGTGTCTTCCTCATTTGCTATATAAGAAAATGCTTCGGTTGCATTTGGCCACTTTATTGGCGAATTGATGCCCAATATATAAGAGTCAAGC